AAGTTTTATGTTTTATAATTCATCTTGAAAGAGTGGGAAATATATTCATTACTATTATTGGTACAGGAGCTCTGGTGGTGTAATGCCTGAGGCATTATTTGACTGCTAACCAGAAGACTGGCAGTTCAAACTGACCAGCCACTCCTCAGAAGGAAGGTTGGGCAATCTACTTCCCTAGTGATACCGTGTCGGAAACCCAAGGAGGGGTCGCAATGAGTCGGATAGGACTCAAGGACAGTGAGAAGTGTTTACATCTGTACTTTTGGGTTCTAACTAATGTTAACACTTGTTTTGTCAAATCAGAGTGACCACAAATTAAGGATCCCTCATTCATTTCATTTTTCAGTGTCAGACATATTGTTAAAATTCTTGGTGCCTCATTCTGCAATCAAAAGCTGAAATTTTAAACTTTTACAATTTTCCTTAAGTCATCTGTATTGCTATGCCCTTAAAAAAAGAAATATGTGTTTTGGGTGAAAGTTTACGGAGTAATTTGCTTTTCTAATCAACAATTCATACACATTTTATTTCCTAACATTGTTTACAATCCCTATAATGTAATGGTCCTCTTCCCACCACTGCTATGCTTATCATTTCCATCTGTCCTTCTTTCCTATCCCTTCCTGCCTTCTGAGTTTTATCCATGGGCACATGCTATCTTTTTGATATCCTATGGTTAATTTTTCTAAGTAGTACATACCTTCCTGGTGTCATTGATTTTATGGGCCTGTCTATTGTTTGGCTGAAGTTTGAGACATGGGAGTTCAGTTCCAAGCTTGTAGGGTGACTAAGGGCTATAGACTCAGGGTTTCACTTGTTTCTATCAGACTAGTTTAAGACTAGTCTTTTCCATGAGTTTGAGAATTGTTCCACATTTCTCTCACTCTCTCCAGGACCTTCTCTTGTGATCCTTTTCAGGGCAGTCGGTAGAGGTCACCAAGCAGTATCTAGTTCTTTTGTCCTCAGGAGTGTAGAAGCCGAGGTTCATGTTGCCTATAGTTCTTTGGACTAGTTGTTTCTGTATGTGTTTGATTTTTTTCACTCTTCTTTATTTTGGATAGGAAGAGACCAATAGTTGCACCTTAGACAACCACTAGCAAATTTTTCAGACCTCATTTCTTACTTAGCAAAGTAAGATGTGGAACACTGTCTTTGTAGACTATGTTATACAATTAGGGTTGATGTCCCTGAGACTGTGGTCCTGAGATTGCAGGCCCAGCAACTAGATATTTGGTTATTTGGTTATGACTGAGAAGTTTTTGTAATTTTGCCCCCTGTGCACTCTACTATATTCATAGTTGTATTTTCAACACATGTAAATGCATTTGAAGAAATATCCTCTGTCAAACCTGTATATATTCAAGAGTATAGTCCCATTTACCTTCCCACACCTCCTCTGGCTACGTGTCTGTCTACCTATGCACAGGTAGATTATTATCATTCCTATCAGTACAAAAATGTGCATGGCATAATATTTAATTTTGTTGCCTTTAAGGCTTGTGTTCCTCTCAGTGTCCTCCTTTATTCTGATCATTTTGTGCTGACCTTTCTGTTATCATATATTGCCTTTCCCTTCACCCAAGTTAGTATGTGTCTAGTTAGAGATTTACACTCCATTTATCTCCCACAACTGATTATCTTCAAAGAATTTTTTTTTTTTTTTACTGTGTATAAAAATTTTCTTGACTTTTTATAGTAGTGGTCTCAGGTCTCATACAATATTTGTCCTTTTGATGTTGACAGTTTCACTCAAGTGAATTCAGAAAACTTCATGGACTTAGAGATATCATTGCTGATGTCAGAG